GGTCTTCCCTCGCATGCCCACCAACCACCAGTATTCTTCACGAGCATGAACTCGAGCGACCAATATTCTTGACGAGCATGAACTCGAGCGACCAATATTCTTGACGAGCATGAACTCGAGCGACCAATATTCTTGACGAGCATGAACTCGAGCGACCAATATTCTTGACGAGCATGAACTCGAGCGACCAATATTCTTGACGAGCATGAACTCGAGCGACCAATATTCTTGACGAGCATGAACTCGAGCGACCAATATTCTTGACGAGCATGAACTCGAGCGACCAATATTCTTGACGAGCATGAACTCGAGCGACCAATATTCTTGACGAGCATGAACTCCAGCGACCAATATTCTTGACGAACATGAACTCCAGCGACCAATATTCTTGACGAACATATACTCCAGTCTCCAATATTCTTGACGTGCATGCCCGCTAGCGACCAATATTCTTGAAGAGCATGCCTGCCAGCTACGAATATTCTTGACGAACATGAACTTCAGCGACCAATATTCTTGACGAGCATGCCCGCCAGCGACCAATATTCTTGACTAACATATACTCCAGTCTCCAATATTCTTGACGTGCATGCCCGCCAGCGACCAATATTCTTGACGAGCAGGAACACTAGCGACCAATATTCTTGACGAGCATGAACACTAGCGACCAATATTCTTGACGTGCATGCCCGCCAGCGACCAATATTCTTGAAGAGCATGAACACTAGCGACCAATATTGCTAACGTCTCGTAATAATTTCTCTATGTAGATACCAGTGGTTTAGGCAAGCATAATCACTTTTGTTTAATAGTGTTAGTTGAAATTGGCTTCCGTAAAGCTGTTGGGCAATATAGTGACGGTTATTGGTTCTCATTACTTGTTTAGACAAATTTGGAAGAAAAGAACAACAATTGTACTCACTAGAGTAATTTATGTTGATTGCAGTACCGCATGAAAACACTTTAAAACAAATTTTATCCACAAAAATGTGCAAAAAAATAATAATACGAGATTTTTCTAGCGATTGCAAACTCCGGTAATTAACTCAAGGAACGATGTGCGTACGATTCTAGTAGGATCATTGCATTTAACAACGTCGTTGTCTCTGTATATGATTGAGACGTAATTTTCGACGTTATAGCTCGGGCAGTGCTGATCGACTGTCAATCACGGGTACTTATTAGGACTGTTGTTATGAGAATGTCTGAGATGGTCCAATCCCGGCTCCTTGTCCTCATATCCATTACAAGCGCTATATCGTCTCTCTGCCTCAGTGCTTTCTTGTGATAATCACCTTATCTTGCCCACTTTGTCTGAGATGTGTGAGCATCGCAGTGCAGGAGAGGGCTGTTAACTCTAAGGGTCTGTATTAATGGTGGTAACGCTTGGTACATAGATGACAGACATCGTGAGATTTAAACTCCCCAGGATGACTAATCACGCAAGACCTCTTCAGAGAGAATACATCCTTAGTGTTTGCAGGTAATAGTTGTGTGTAAACTAAAGTCTTTGAAAATGTAATAAGTTATTACGAAACGCCTTCAACTGTCGCGTCAGACTAGAAATAAAAATTAATTTTGGAGAATTGATTTTTCAATTACCATCGACAGTGAAAAGAAACTTAAGAAATATTGAGAAACTTCGTGTTAGAATTATTAATCCTACTTTTTCGGTCATATTTAATAATATATATATATATATATATATATATATATATATATATATATATATATATGCGAACAAGCCTGAATGGTCCCCAGGACTATATGCGAATGAAAACTCACACCCCAGAAGTGACTCGAACCCATACTCCCAGAAGCAACGCAACTGGTAACTACAGGGCGCCTTAATCCGCTTGACCATCACGGCCGTCAAAAGGAAGTGTTAGCCGAGGCTATTTGAGCCACTTCCCGACGGCAACTCGGATGGTAATCTTGGGCATAGCATTTCACCAAATCACCTCATTCTTTGGGGCACACGTGAGGAACACAAATGCGAACAAGCCTGAATGGTCCCCAGGACTATATGCGAATGAAAACTCACACCCCAGAAGTGACTCGAACCCATACTCCCAGAAGCAACGCAACTGGTAACTACAGGGCGCCTTAATCCGCTTGACCATCACGGCCGTCAAAAGGAAGTGATAGCCGAGGCTATTTGAGCCACTTCCCCGACGGCAACTCGGATGGTAATCTTGGGCATAGCATTTCACCAAATCACCTCATTCTTTGGGGCACACGTGAGGAACACAAATGCGAACAAGCCTGAATGGTCCCCAGGACTATATGCGAATGAAAACTCACACCCCAGAAGTGACTCGAACCCATACTCCCAGAAGCAACGCAACTGGTAACTACAGGGCGCCTTAATCCGCTTGACCATCACGGCCGTCAAAAGGAAGTGATAGCCGAGGCTATTTGAGCCACTTCCCCGACGGCAACTCGGATGGTAATCTTGGGCATAGCATTTCACCAAATCACCTCATTCTTTGGGGCACACGTGAGGAACACAAATGCGAACAAGCCTGAATGGTCCCCAGGACTATATGCGAATGAAAACTCACACCCCAGAAGTGACTCGAACCCATACTCCCAGAAGCAACGCAACTGGTAACTACAGGGCGCCTTAATCCGCTTGACCATCACGGCCGTCAAAAGGAAGTGATAGCCGAGGCTATTTGAGCCACTTCCCCGACGGCAACTCGGATGGTAATCTTGGGCATAGCATTTCACCAAATCACCTCATTCTTTGGGGCACACGTGAGGAACACAAATGCGAACAAGCCTGAATGGTCCCCAGGACTATATGCGAATGAAAACTACCACTAAAAACTAAAAAAGTCCTGGGGACCATTCAGGCTTGTTCGCATTTGTGTTCCTCACGTGTGCCCCAAAGAATGAGGTGATTTGGTGAAATGCTATGCCCAAGATTACCATCCGAGTTGCCGTCGGGGAAGTGGCTCAAATAGCCTCGGCTATCACTTCCTTTTGACGGCCGTGATGGTCAAGCGGATTAAGGCGCCCTGTAGTTACCAGTTGCGTTGCTTCTGGGAGTATGGGTTCGAGTCACTTCTGGGGTGTGAGTTTTCATTCGCATATAGTCCTGGGGACCATTCAGGCTTGTTCGCATTTGTGTTCCTCACGTGTGCCCCAAAGAATGAGGTGATTTGGTGAAATGCTATGCCCAAGATTACCATCCGAGTTGCCGTCGGGGAAGTGGCTCAAATAGCCTCGGCTATCACTTCCTTTTGACGGCCGTGATGGTCAAGCGGATTAAGGCGCCCTGTAGTTACCAGTTGCGTTGCTTCTGGGAGTATGGGTTCGAGTCACTTCTGGGGTGTGAGTTTTCATTCGCATATAGTCCTGGGGACCATTCAGGCTTGTTCGCATTTGTGTTCCTCACGTGTGCCCCAAAGAATGAGGTGATTTGGTGAAATGCTATGCCCAAGATTACCATCCGAGTTGCCGTCGGGGAAGTGGCTCAAATAGCCTCGGCTATCACTTCCTTTTGACGGCCGTGATGGTCAAGCGGATTAAGGCGCCCTGTAGTTACCAGTTGCGTTGCTTCTGGGAGTATGGGTTCGAGTCACTTCTGGGGTGTGAGTTTTCATTCGCATATAGTCCTGGGGACCATTCAGGCTTGTTCGCATTTGTGTTCCTCACGTGTGCCCCAAAGAATGAGGTGATTTGGTGAAATGCTATGCCCAAGATTACCATCCGAGTTGCCGTCGGGGAAGTGGCTCAAATAGCCTCGGCTATCACTTCCTTTTGACGGCCGTGATGGTCAAGCGGATTAAGGCGCCCTGTAGTTACCAGTTGCGTTGCTTCTGGGAGTATGGGTTCGAGTCACTTCTGGGGTGTGAGTTTTCATTCGCATATAGTCCTGGGGACCATTCAGGCTTGTTCGCATTTGTGTTCCTCACGTGTGCCCCAAAGAATGAGGTGATTTGGTGAAATGCTATGCCCAAGATTACCATCCGAGTTGCCGTCGGGGAAGTGGCTCAAATAGCCTCGGCTATCACTTCCTTTTGACGGCCGTGATGGTCAAGCGGATTAAGGCGCCCTGTAGTTACCAGTTGCGTTGCTTCTGGGAGTATGGGTTCGAGTCACTTCTGGGGTGTGAGTTTTCATTCATATATATATATATATATATATATATATATATATATATATATATATATATATATATATATATATATATATATATATATATATATATATACATATAAATGCGAACAAGCCTGAATGGTCCCCAGGCATATATGCAACTGAAAACTCACACCCCAGAAATGACTCGAACCCATACTGCCAGGAGCACAATGCAACTGGTGTGATAAGGTGCCCTGTACACACCAATTGCATTGTGCTCCTGGTTGTATGGGTTCGAGTCACTTTTGGGGTGTGAGTATATATGTTTGTGTGTAAATAACGAAAGTTAGCACGTGATGAAAGATGTGACAGTGTCAGATCACGGAGGAAGAATTGAAAACAGGAATTTCCTTAAGTACTTTCGTTTTTAATAATACATCTTCAGAAGGATCGATCCGACAATTTTTTAACATTATTAAAAAATAAGGATTGGAGTAACACTTGTAATGATTAATTGCCATAATTTTAATTCTGCTTGCACGCCTTTGTTTTCTTATATGTAATTCCCACCATTTATTTAACTTTTAATTTCCTCCATGCTGTTTTAATTCTTTTTTTAGGCAATGCCTGGTGAATCTTTGGGAAATGTTCTCTTTTACTCAGGTATTCAGATGTGGCAATGTTCGCTTTATATTGCTAACTACGTCTCGTGCTGTTTTTCCCGTTGAACTTTATTTTCCTCATCGTTAATGTCTGAATATATGGAATTATCTGACCATCCCCGTCGTTGTGTAACTTATGAATCTCTCTGCGGCATTTACCTCAGAGGAGTGATGTGGTAGTATGCAGCTGTTTTTCCTGCCAAAGCGCTGCAGGCAACCTGAGTCACCTACACTTTCCTCCTTCCGCAGGTAACCAGGCTGTCCAGGAGGAGGCGCTAAGGGCTTGGTCGGTTCCGCGCGAGGTGTCGCCAGGACACACCGTGGTCGGCAGTAACGGAGGTGGGACCGTGGGCGGTGCTGGTGATGGGCGGCCCAATGGGTGGGCGACCTTTGTTGGAGACGTGCCTGAGCCGCCCCCGCCGCCCAGGACCTCCACACTCCGGAAGGAGAGGAAAGTCACCATCTTAGATCAGACCGTCCACAGGTTATGATGATATCTTCCCCCCGTCCCTAGGCTGTCTTGCGCTGCATACCTGAACCTTCCGGTCCTCGCTGCACAGCCCGCCCTCCTCCCCCAGTACAAGTCACACTGCCCTCTCTTCTTAAATATCACAATCCTTCATGGTAAGATAATACTTCACATGATAATCATGCCCTTCTTACAGAGATTAGCCTTCCATCACAGCTCTTCGCTATTCACCCTTTTCTTTTCCTTAATATCACAATTCACTATTCTATCGACGTTTGAATGATTCACCCATCCATCAGCCTAAACTCACCCCTGCAGCTTTCACCAGCGTGCCATCCATCTTAAGCAGCATCTCTCCTATTTCCTCCCCTAAAGGCCTATCGCCATCTCCCTCTCCTCCAGCTGATGACCCCCACGACCCGTCAACGACTCTCCACGATAAATCTGTCGCTTCTAACAAAGGCCCGAAAAGTCCGCGGCACGGACCCGACTCTTAGTGATCATATACGGATGTGTACACGGCTTCTGGCTGACGTGTGTGTATGCAGACATCACTCGGCCAGCGATATTGGTGACCCCGTGATGCGGCTATGTGAACACTCTCTGTGGCCACCATGCGTGTGCTGGCGTGACACAGCTGTGTGTACAGGTCATATGATTGATGCATGTGTGCATCGGTACGCGGGCGATGCATTGATGTCTTCACAAGTTATTAGGGTTAATGTTCAAGAGTGGAAATAAAGTTACAGTGATGTATTATGAACATATTCTCTACCGCTTTCAGTGACTATTCTAGGTGGCGTCTGAACAGAACACCGTACGCATCAGTTCACTACTCCGAACTGAATTTGGCCGTGCTGTCTGCCTCGCCGGCGGCCAGTCCTGGGCCATCACGCACGGTTGAGGACCACTGGTATGAGATACGTAAACGAGATCAGGAAACCAATTGCGTACTCGGGATACGAGTATCCTATTGCTCTTGGCTGCCGTTCAAAGATTCTGTAAACTAGTCTCAAACTTCCTTTGAGAATTTACGTGTTTAGTAATTCTGACATAAAATAAAAATTATTTATTTGTTTTTGTCAAATGTTTTTAATTTGTTATTAATTATACTTTGGTTATAATTTGATTACTTATTATTTATAAGGTGGTTAGACTTTTGTGTGTTTGTGACAAAATTGTCTTAGTTAAAGTTTTCGTGTCACATTCTCTTGTTTATCTGTATAGGGCATATCAATGGTTATGTTGATGAGAGTTTCATTCGCTGGCATGTTAACTGGCCCCTCTACGAGAATAATTGTGTTTTGCGCAGTGTTTATATAGGTGAGTTTTTCCCTTGACGTCTTACATATGAATTGGTTTTTAGATATTTGATTGAATGAATTTGCTTTTTATGATGCCACTAAGACAACTGTGTTGATGCACCCGAGAGGATTGAGCGAGCGCCCAGCCTATATTGTATGCACCTTAGTCCTCTACACTCCAACATCTCACAACCTACTCTCTCCACACCTCACGCATCATACCTCATATCTCATAACTCACACCTCACCAACACACCAAGTTTCACATATCACCTATTCTCCTCATCCCAGACCTCACACCACTCCTCACGTACACACAGACACCGACTCACTGTGAGGGGTAAGGCTTCAGATTGACGAGGTGTCGCTAGTGGAGTCCAGTAGGGTTCAGTCCTTGAACCTATGATGTTTTTATAATATGTAAATGATCTCCCAGAGGCCATAGAATAATTCCTCTCCTTGTTTTCTGGTGATGCAAAAATTATGAGAAGGATTAGGACGGAACAAGATGGTATGAGGCTACAAGATAAATTACACAAACTGTATGAATGGTCCAACGAATGGCTACTAAAGTTAAACCCGAGTAAATGTAAGGTAATGAAACTAGGCAGTGGAAACAGGAAGCCAGACACTGGATACCGAATGGTAGATGAAGTCCTTCATAAGCCGGACAGAGAGGAAGATCTAGGAGTTGATATCACAACAAACTTATCTCCTAAAGCCCACATGCAAAAATAACATCTACGGCGTATGCAAGGCTGGCTATCATTAGAACTGCCTTCAGGAACCTGTGCAAAGTATCATTCGGAACCTTTAACACCACATATGTAGGAGGATTCTTGGAGTATGCAGTCCCCAGCATAGAGCCCGAACCGTCTGAAACACAAGACGAAGCTGGAAAAAGTTCAGAGGTATGTCACTAGGCTAGTCCCAGAACTAAGAAGCCTGAATTACGAGGAAAGGCTGCGTGAAATGCACCTCACGACACTGGAAGACAGAGGAGTAAGGGAAGACATGATCACAGCCTAAAAAATTCGCAGAAGAATTGACAAGGTAGATAAATATAAACTGTTTAACACGGGTGGTACGCGAATAAGGGGACACAGGTGGAAACTGAATTCCCAAATGAGCCACAGGGATATTACAATGAACTTTTTCGGTGTCAGAGTAGTTAACAGATGCAATGCATTAGGCAGTAATGTCGTGGAGGCCACTCAATACACAGTTTTAAATGTAGATATGATAGAGCCCAGAAACTCAGGAATCTGACCACCAGTTGAAAAGGGACCAAAGGGCCAGAGCCTAACCCCCGTAAGCACAACTAAGTGGTGATGGCACACTCACACACACACACACACACACGCGCACACACACACACACACACACACACACACACACACACACACACACACACACACACACACACACACACACACACACACACACACACACACACACACACACACACACACACACACACACACACACACACACACACACACACACACACACATATATATATTTATATTTATGACACAGTACCCCATAAAAGGTTGATGCATAAGCTGGAGAAACAGGCAGGAGTAACTGGCAGGGCGCTCCAGTGGATAAGGGAGTACCTAAGCAATAGGAAGCAGAGAGTTATAGTGAGGGGTGAGACCTCAGAATGGCGTGAAGTCACCAGTGGAGTCCCACAGGGCTCTGTGCTTGGACCTATCCTGTTTCTGATGTACGTAAATGATCTCCCAGAGGGTATAGACTCATTCCTCTCAATGTTTGCTGACGACGCCAAAATTATGAGAAGGATTAAGACAGAGGAGGACAGCTTGAGGCTTCAAGAAGACCTGGACAAGCTGCAGGAATGGTCGAACAAATGGATGTTAGAGTTTAACCCAAGCAAATGTAATGAAGATAGGGGTAGGAAGCAGGAGACCAGATACAAGGTATCACTTGGGAGATGAAATACTTCAAGAGTCAGAGAGAGAGAAAGACCTGGGGGTTGATATCACGCCAGACCTGTCCCCTGAAGCTCATATCAAGAGGATAACATCAGCAGCATATGCCAGGTTGGCTAACATAAGAACGGCCTTTAGAAACTTGTGTAAGGAATCTTTCAGAACTTTATATACCACATATGTCAGACCAATCCTGGAGTATGCGGCTCCAGCATGGAGTCCATATCTAGTCAAGCATAAGACTAAACTGGAAAAGGTTCAAAGGTTTGCCACCAGACTAGTACCCGAGCTGAGAGGTATGAGCTACGAGGAGAGACTACGGGAACTGAACCTCACTTCGTTGGAAGACAGAAGAGTTTGGGGGGACATGATCACCACATTCAAGATTCTGAAGGGAATTGATAGGGTAGATAAAGACAGGCTATTTAACACAAGGGGCACACGCACTAGAGGATACAGGTTAAAACTGAGTGCCCAAATGAGCCACAGAGATATAAGAAAGAACTTTTTTAGTGTCAGAGTGGTTGACAAATGGAATGCATTAGGAAGTGATGTGGTGGAGGCTGACTCCATACACAGTTTCAAGTGTAGATATGATAGAGCCCAATAGGCTCAGGAACCTGTACACCTCCTGTACACCTGTTGATTGACGGTTGAGAGGCGGGACCAAAGAGCCAGAGCTCAACCCCCGCAAACACAACTAGGTAAGTACAAGTGAGTGAGATATGTGTGTACTCACCTCACGGTGAGTACACACATATCTCACCCACATCCCACATCACACCCACGGTCACAAATCTCATCTACATCCCAACCTCACTCACACCTTTTATACTTCACCAACACCTTCCCCATCCCACACGTCACCTACAACCAACAACCCAAACCTACACCCACAACCCAGACTTCTCCAACTCTCACTCATAACCCACATCCCCAACTCACATACTTATAACCCAAAACAAAAACCCACATCCACAACCCAAACCCACAATCCACAACCCAAGCCCACAAGCAACACCCCACATCCACTACCCATACATCTCTCGCACCGCACACCTCATGTCTCATCACACCCTACACCCTTCCCCACTCTCGCCACAACCCTATCCCCCTACACCACTCATCTCCCTCACCACACACCACGTTCCCTTTACCATTCACACCCCGTCACTATCACACCGCGTCTCCTCCCCCATCCCAACCACCACCACTCCCCTTCGTTATATCTGTATCACAGAATAACGCGACTGTTAGTGATACGAGTGTTGACCTCCATCTGTGCTAGTACAAGATTGAGTGTTGACCTCCAACTGTGCCAGTACAAGATTGAGTGTTGACAACCAATTGTGCCAGTACAAGGTTGAGTGTTGACCTCCAACTGTGCCAGTACAAGATTGAGTGTTGACAACCAATTGTGCCAGTACAAGGTTGAGTGTTGACCTCCAACTGTGCCAGTACAAGATTGAGTGTTGACAACCAATTGTGCCAGTACAAGATTGAGTGTTGACAACCAATTGTGCCAGTACAAGGTTGAGTGTTGACCTCCAACTGTGCCAGTACAAGATTGAGTGTTGACCTCCATCTGTGCCTGTACAAGGTTGAGTGTTGACCTCCAACTGTGCCAGTACAGGATTGAGTGTTGACCTCCATCTGTGCCTGTACAAGGTTGAGTGTTGACCTCCAACTGTGCCAGTACAGGATTGAGTGTTGACCTCCATCTGTGCCAGTACAAGGTTGAGTGTTGACCTCCAACTGTGCCAGTACAAGATTGAGTGTTGACCTCCAACTGTGTCAGTACAAGATTGAGTGTTGACCTCCAACTGTGCTAGTACAAGGTTGAGTGTTGACCTCCATCTGTGCCAGTACAAGGTTGAGTGTTGACCTCCAACTGTGCTAGTACAAGGTTGAGTGTTGACCTCCATCTGTGCCAGTACAAGGTTGAGTGTTGACCTCCAACTGTGCTAGTACAAGGTTGAGTGTTGACCTCCAACTGTGCCAGTACAAGGTTGAGTGTTGACCTCCAACTGTGCCAGTACAAGGTTGAGTGTTGACCTCCAACTGTGCCAGTACAAGGTTGAGTGTTGACCTCCAACTGTGCTAGTACAAGGTTGAGTGTTGACCTCCAACTGTGCCAGTACAAGGTTGAGTGTTGACCTCCAACTGTGCCAGTACAAGGTTGAGTGTTGACCTCCATCTGTGCCAGTACAAGATTGAGTGTTGACAATCAATTCAGTTAAACTTGATTACTAGAATTCATTGAAACCTCATTACAGTTCCAACTCATTGAAACATTTTGCATGAATCAGGATACAGTGAATCCTATTGACGATGTCAAGATTCATTAGAGCATCCTGATTGCAAGGATTCATTGAAACCTCATGACAGTTCAGAGACTCAATGAAACTTCCTAACAGTGCCAGCATTCACTGAAATCAGGTGACATTGCCAGAGCTCGCGCCAGTGTCAGGGTCGTGTAAACGAGCCATTACAGTGCCAATTCTCAGTGATCTAATCCCAAACAACCACGAACCGGTTATCCTAGTGGCGAAACTCCAGGGCCTCCTCTGCACCTATTCAATCCTTCAAGGAATCGTTAGTTTGAATATAAATCCCAACGTACACAAGACGGCTCACCAAAGTGATTTTTAAAGCCTAGCCTAACCTAACTTAACCTCACCTAATCTAACCCAATCCAACCAACCTAACTTATCTTAACCAGTCCTAACTCAATCCCACCAACCTAACCCAGCCCAAACCACCCTAACCTATCACAACCGCACCTAATGTAACCTAATACGACTTAATTAACCTAACAATATATTGGGTTCGAACAAAGAGAAAATAAGGTTTGTCGAATCGTCTTGTGTACAGTTCGGCCAGACCTCGCCAGTTTCATTGGCGAGTCTGCTTGAGTTTACTATAACACATTTTGTTAATGACCATCAGAGCAGGTAAAAGACTAGTCAGTCGAGATGTGATTGCGAGAGGTTACCTCGTGATGAGGCTATCGTAGAACGCCTGACAACGATATCGTTGAACTCCTGATAACGATATCGAATAACTGTTGTCGACGATATTGTAGAACTTTAGACGACGTTTTCGCAGAACTCTGGGCAATGATATCGTAGAACTTTTGATAACAATTAATTATATCGATATCGTAGGTATACCAACCTCTCTGACACGTTCGACTGCACGCTGCTAGCGCCTAGAGGAACAGTTATAGCGATAGCAAGTGTCAAATATCGCCAAACA